GTTGTGATGGGTTTGATGTTGATGATGATGACACTGTTTCAACTCTAGTACTTGCCTCCTGATTAGCACTCTTTGAAATGCTGAAAATGAGATAACTTGAGGCTCTCTTACTTTATTTTTACAAGCTTTCTTTGCACCACATGAGCAATGGTCTGTACACAATACACCAGCTGCCTTGCATGGGCATAATCCTAAACCTTTCCCTCGAGCACAGGCAGTCTGACAGTGGCACTTAATTGTTTTTTTAATAAAGGACCAGTAAAACTGATAAAAATAAATTATACTTTACATTTGTAGATGCAGCAGCAACAGAAGCCATTAAATATAATAAACGTGTTTACATATGACTTGTAGCCCCACTCACGTGAACAATAACAATTGTCATAATGACAAGTAAAATTTGTAACCGTATACTAGTTTGTACATGTAAAGCCATATCAATGAATGACTTCCGTGTCCGTGCTCCTTTAAAAGTTGTTATTTTACATTTAGTATTATTCAAGCAGTAATTTTGTACATATAATATCGATCATCATGCATGTTAATGCTGCCATCAATGCTGTGCGCATTACATGTATGTAAATGCTTGCCAGCTGATGTTGCACATAATGCTGCCATCAATGCTGTGAGCATTATTAAGTTAATGCTTGCCAGCTGATGTTGCGCATTTGAATGATGCTGCCATCAAAGCTGTGCGCATAATAAATGCTTGCCAGCTGATGTTGCACATCTTTTATTGATGATTGTTGTAACATGTGCATGTTCTCATTAACAAAAAAATATATTGTTTGCACATTGGAAATACTTTATGCACACAATGATATTTTATATTAAGCAGGTCATGAATGTATCTTAACTGAGGATAGCATTAGTAAGCAATATTATGTCTAAAATGCATGCATGCACATACATGTATGATCCAATCAGAAATATTGTAGATGCTACCATTATCATTATTAGTTAGTACTTGTATGTCACATTCATAATTTATACAGGTATACTTAGGACTACAATGTGGTGTTAAAGAGTGAGGTCAGACTTAGAATGAGACTCAACAGCTGAAAGGGACGTTCCTCTATGTGAGCACCTGTATCTTGTTAGTGGTTTGTAATGTATGTTTGTGACAAACATAAGGTATATTATGCATATACATGTATATGTTTAGTATAGTGTACATGTAGTGCATTATTGATGCATTTATTGTGCTTGTAGTGTTTGATGATTATCATGCATGAATTTCATCCTTTTATAGTTTGTTGTAAGTACATATACTATATCCCAACTGAGTTTGACCCAAGAAAAACTGGAATAACTTTTTATAGGAATGTGGGATAAGGATGAAACTTTCACAGGTTCTTAGTCGCCCAATGCCATCACAGGATCTCAGGTCTTGGGTCTCTCAGCCCTTGGGAACCCTGAGAACCGGGTTCTCCCTATAAACCCAATGGCATACCAAAATGACGTTTTATGACAATTTATGTACGTCATAGTTTACATAAGAACATGTGGTCGAGCGCCCAAACTGATAATTATTCTTTTAAAAAGCTAACAGAGCAAGATCTTTTGATGATAATGGCCAATATGAAGACTAGTTGACTCCAGAAGCTATTGTACTGCTTATCAGAACAAACAAAGGCAATTTAAAAGTGAAATACAGGCGAACTAGGCACCTGTAAAATATCGGCCATGCTTCTATGAATATCATTATAAGACGTCATTAGTGACGTAATGGCTACATTTTTCAAATTTCAAGCGGCTGGTGTCAAACTCAGTTGGGATATAGTATATGTACTATAATGGAGTTACAAGGAATACAAAAGTTCCATGTGATTGGTAATAGAGTTTGTTCACCATTACTGTTTGTTCTATTGTTATTATTAGCCCGTGTGTTTACATTGTTTGCAGTTGATGTGTTTATGTTACTATGCTTTACAGGTAATGACAGCTGGAAAGGATTTGATGATTCAGCAATATTTTTATTGCTTGATATTGGAATGTGCAATATAATTAAAGGCAGTTCTGGATTTCGATTGTTGTAACTAAAATTTATTTCATTATTAAATGCAACTTAAACAAGAAGGTGCACTATAAAACCATTCACGCAACGTCATGAAATCGCTTCCGTCGATCACAGTATAAAAGGAGGTGCCCTGGGCACAATATGGCGGCCAGATTGAATTAAATTTGAAAATAACAAAATGGCTCCCGCACAGGCACTGTTCTTATCATGGCTAAATCACTAGCAAAACGCATTATAAAAACATTAAAATTAGCAAAGGTGAGAGAGTTAACCTACAAGCACACCTAGAAAGCATAGCAAGGAGAGAAATGGTATAATTGACTTGAAGTAATAATTTTACATTATTATATTGTATATTCTGAAAAATCTGCCAACAGCCTAAGAAACACGGTCAATGATGCTGTCAGGCAGGTAATAAGTGATAGTGGCAAGGGAATAGCCCTCACTACTACACAGAAAACCAGCCCAAGAACCGCCACCACTGGGACCAGACAGCCCTGCCGACTACCATATATCAGCCACCATCATCAAGTATAAGTGGTTCCAGCAAAAGACCCCAACATGGTCCTCATTCAGATCCTAGTACTGGTAGCAGTTGTAACATTCAACGATCTACTGGAAGAAGTAAATACAAAAATATTATTCTAAATTTTTAAAAATATAAACATTATGTATATAGGGTTGAATAGATATTGGGATGGTGAGGAGCCTCCTGTATCTGTGTACCTCTTCCCAACTGTGCCCAGTGATGCCGACAAAAATATGGCAGTACTGTGATGGTAATATACCAGTACAAGAAAAATGCTAGTAAGAGCCTAAAAATATTAATGCCACCATATGATTACTTTACATTACAAATAATACTTACTTCTGTATCTAGTAACTAATAAACTTGAGTTACGATTACAGGACTCACA